TTCATATTTACAGGGCTCCCACAAGTTTCTATGACTTCTCTGACTTCAGTTTCTGCAATTTCAAATAGAAATACTTTAGTCAGTATTTACAACAGGGGCTCCTGGAATCACTATATATACATATATCTCTGCAGTTTTAAATATCTAGAGTAGGAGAGTGAGATAAAAGCCATCTGTGAGTGACCTCCTAGAGACATACTAGAGACATACAGGGGTTGAAGTTATTGACTGTACCTTTCCTTGGTTCATTTTTCCTTCTGCCTTCTCTGAGGAAAAGGCTTGCTTTTACTGTGTGATTGTACAGTGCCTAACACAATAGGACCAACCTCAGGTAGGACCTTCAGGCACTCCCATTATATGAATGAGAACAAGATTGTTGGTGTCAGTAATTAACATTCTTGTGGGATTGTTGGAAATGCTTTGGGATAAACACCACCTGGAATCCTTGCCTGGCTTATGTGGTTTTTAAGCTGCAGAGGAGGCAGATCCTGTTCACATGAGAGGGCACAGACCCTCTGTCTCTTCTCTTTTTGGGCACAGAAAGAGTTTTTCAGTCCAAAAATGCAATACAAAACCTCAGTGAGAAGTGGGAACCCTGGGAAAGTGAGGGTGTTGCCAACAAGGAAGAAAAATGGGGGGTCAGTTAGCAGCGTGGCTCCATTAACGATCTCACTTGAAGAAAAAAAATCCTATGACAGCCACCAAAACAGAGAGAAAAGTACCGAACTGTGTGTAACTGATAACACTGTGAATGTCTGTGGCACAGTGTCATCCCATGACAGGCTTCCAGAGATGAACTCTTGCTCTGGTTAAGCAGATGGCAGAACTCCCCTTGACCGCATTTAACACTTGGCTTTGCCTGTGGTGCTACCTGCATTTCTCTGCCTCTGAACGCCCAGACAGCCGCATCCCACATCATTATGCAATTCTGATAACCAAGAAATTATGCTTTAGAGTGTGGATTGGATTTGGTGAGCCTTGCATTTTGAATTCTTGGTTTCCTCTATCAGCACCTGAAATCCTTGAGTAAACAAACATAGGATTAGATCTCAACAAGTCCTTAGCAGACCAAGCCATTAAAAGCATTTCACACCAGCTGCTCCGCTCTCATTTCGGACTCTATTAAACACCAAGTCAAGCAAAGGAGTTCGCTCTTCCTTTCAGACTTCTGGGAAACTGATTGTGGTGACTGTGGAATGTTTGCCTCCATTTGTGACCCCCTGCCTCCAGTGAGGAGCTGGAATTATCCAGCTGTTGACATCAGGAACGATGTAAATATGTGCTAGAGCTAGAGGCTTTCTGGCAAACAGCCTACTAACCTAGAATTTGCTCTGCAATGTCAGGAGTATGACTTCTAACCTTGGAGCAGCTTGCAAAACCACATCTGTGACCAATAAATATGAAAAACAGAAAAAAAAAATCTAGTCCCTGTCGAACAATGAAAGAGAGCCCATCATGCTAGACTCTGCAGCGATCAGTATGGCAACCTATGCAGGCACAATCAAACTGATTGCCAGAAGTCTGTGGCTGTAACTTCTACCCAAGGGATGCAGCACAGCAGATTAATCTTAAGGTGAGTATCTCACAGATGTAAGTCTTAAACTTAATGAGCTAGGTCCTTATTTATGCTGCAGTTCCTTCTTACCCCAAAATTACCTTTTCCAGCTGCTTGAGGATGTCCAGTAATGGGAGATTCTCTTAATCAAGATTACAATTCTGTGCTAACTCAAGTCCTGCTAAGCAATAGAGAGATTATGATCAGAGAAGCGGACGTAATGAGAGTGCAGCCGAACCACTGAATTTTAATTTTATTGCTCTTCTTGTTGGTAACAGCCAACCCAGTGCAACTCACAGCAGCTTGAGAGTGCTTCCAGATCTCACCGGGAGTCAGAAAGGTTCAGTGCTAGCCTCAGGGAGTCACAAAAGGTCAGAGAAACTGTCTTTGTTCTGTAACCTTATTTCTGCACCAAAAAACAGTAGCTAGGCTTTAAATGAGAAGAACCTCAAGCAAAAGAAAGAAATTTAATCACTGAAATTAAGGTCTTCCTCTGGAGAGTACTCTCTGTCCCTGTTGATCACACACGTGTGCAGTGTCAACATTTGAGTGACAGCATTAAATGTTGATTATAAGGCTTAGATATCTCCAAGAGGAGAAATACATTTTCCACTCTATAGTTTAGAAGTGGCTGAGGCAGGTGAGGTAAAAAAAAAGCTTTCTTTGATTGTTACAGAAGAAGGGAGTTGTTTATGTGTAGATATTAGACATCTGCAGCCTAGAGGTGTTTTTTTTTCCCTTAAATTCAAGAGTTTCAAAGTTAAGAAATGCCAATGTTATGGTGGCCTATGCAACTGTGATTTGTTGCCTTTTGTGCATTTGCATTATGATGCACTATTTAATTGTAATTAGATCACATGCTGTTCTTTCGACAGGTTCCCAGCCTTGCTCATTGTGCAGAATAGACTGTGCTCACTAAGTAATAATTTTATTTTCTCCTTGCTGTTCACTATGTGGCCCATGCTTTATTTACTGCATGCTATTCAAATATTGTTCTGAAGACAGATTTATTCATTTCCTCCTGGGCTTCTGCATGGTGCTCATCACTATGGTATCCAAGTGCTTCACAAACTCTAATTCATTTTCTCAACGCTGTTGTGAGAACTGGTATCGCCCATATTTTACAGATGAAGAATCTAGGCATACAGATGGAATAGTAAAAAATATCTTTTAATTTTAGCTATCCAATTAGAAATACTCATGGCCTGATTCTGTCAGAAAATACAACATGGCAAAGCTGAATAAAACTTAGTCAAAGTTGAATAAATTCTCATTTACCACAGTTAAGACTTCAGAATGTCAAACCAGGCTTTAGGCCTTGCAGGCTGCACAACTATTGCACTGCAAGCCTCTTTCTGGGGCACCATCCTGAAGCTGCAGTGCTTTCCTGGAGCAGCACCCACCTGAACCACAGCACGATGCTTGCTTTTCCTGCAGTCCCCTGCAAGGTACATAAAATATCTACATCTAATTTTTATAGGAAATTAAGTTATTTGGGCTTTTACCTTTGTTCCTTGACCTTGGTTAGCCTCAGAGCCAGGCCTATCTGTTTGTGCTGGCAACCTTTATTCTGGTATTTCATAACTTGGAAGTGTTTTTCTTTGCAGCCTAACAAATGTTGCTTTAATGTAGTTTGCCATGTCTGTTTCTCTCTCATGTAGAGGTAACCTTAAAAACAAAACAACAACACAGCAACGTAATCCTGTATTAAACTGGTATCTGTGTAGGCCATCAGCAATGTGGAAATTTGCTCTAAAAGTAGAAAGAAATAGCTTGGCTCTCCTGCACGCAGTCCAGCACTGTAAGAGGGTGAGGAACGCTCCCAGTGCATCTCAGACACTTGCTGCCAGTAGATGTGACAGTTTTCCAGATGGTCTTCATTCCCGTTTTTCTCCTGTTCCTACTCTGTTTCTGAGTCTTCTCCCAGCAGGCCGGTTCCAGGCTTGTGCACGAGCTCAGCTTCATCCCTCCCTGCAGGCAGACCCCGTCTCCAGCCCAGCTCCTTCCCCTCGCCCTGGAGAACCTGCCTTACTCCAGGCCTGCCAACTTCCCCGACCCACTCCTCGTCCCGCCGCACGTCACGGCAGGAGCTCCCCGCTCACGCTGCTGGGTGAGGACTGGCAGGACGGGTTCCCCGCTCAGCCCGGGTGCGCTCAGACTTGGCACGGAGCGGGGCAGCGCGGAACTGGAACGGCAGGTCCGGCTCTGCTCCCTGGGGCTGCGGCTGCTCTGCGAGCGTCAAACCGCTGCACGACGGCACCGGCGAACCCCGCAAACAACAGCAGCGTGCTCAGCGGGCTTTTCCACAGAGCTCCGCGAGGAAGCGTCTCTCACGAGGCGACCCTCGTGCTCTGTAGGCCCGGATAACCTTTTCCTCTGGCCTGACAGAAGGGATGACGGCAGCTCTGAAGCGTAACCTGAGGTGTGAACTTGGGCGCTCCCAGCACGACAGCTGTGCGGCTAATCGTGGTGGCTGAAGACGGGGTTTCCGCTACCCATCGCGGTGACGCGTCCAGCCCCAGCCGGTGCTCAGTAAGAGCCACAACCAAACCTCCTCAGGAGGCAGCGGCCCTGCAGCGGGACCGCTCCAGGATGCCGTCAGCGGAGGACAAACCCGCTTCCCGACAGAACGCTGGACAAGAAGACGCGGGATTTTTGTGCTTTTCGGAGAGACGCACCCCCCGAGCCGCGTTTCGCTCTCGCAGCGCCCCGCAGCGCTGCCCATCGCAGGGTTTCCCTCTGAGAAAGAGAGCGCGACCGCGGGGGCTCGAGGTGTGGACCGGGGCGGGATTGAGGGCAGGGCGGCACGGCGTCCCGCGCAGGCGCTGTGGCGGGCGGGCGGGCGCGCGCACACCTGGCGCTGAGGGGGGGCTGCGG